TGATAATAGTGATGGGAACTCTTCTAGTTACACTTTTGGTTTCCTTACTGTGGTAAAGATGGCACTATATCCTGGCTTCTGGTTTAAGACGTGTCTGAAACTCTGAGGTAACTGTTCAAGTTGTTAGGGTCCTATTTTCCAATTGGTCTGGTAGCTGACTTTTTAGCAAGGCATTTATTGTCTTATCAAGTGAGCTGCTGATTCCAGGATCAATAATTCCTTTAGACATGGATCTAAAATAGGTTGTCTAGATGGAAGGGTTTTTGTGTGGGATAAAGCTGGAAAGGACTAATTATTCTGTGCGTCCATGAGTGTTAGTGCTGGCAGAACTTCTGCAGACAGAAAATGCGAATCTGTTCTCTGAATATGTGTCTGTTTCAACACTTTTATCACTGGCTGGCCCTCCATGATAAAAGGTGTCCGTTGTACTTATTCTGCTACCAGAGAGCTGTCTGATTGCTATACACCCTACAACACCGTGGAATGTGCCACATCTGGAGTTACATGTTAGCCTCTGCAGTGGTGGGCACTCAGCAGTGATGACAACTAGATGAGAGTCGGTGAGCAGAAGGAAGGTCATATTTTTGAGCCCAACTTTGACCTTGGTCCTGGAAATCATGGCCACTCAGTACTCAGGCTCATTTAGCAGAGCTTGATATGTCTAAGATGGGCTTTAATGTTTACATTATTATTTAGGTCTTCTTCCACAAATACATAACTTTTAGTGGGCATGGTAGAAGGAAACAACATTTTCCAATTCTTTTGCCAGGTTTTCAGTATAATTATTTTAGGCCTGTGAACAGCAAGCCAAAATATTGGCCTCTGCCCATGAATTATGACATATTCATAAGCAGCATATACCATGTGGATTATTTAGAAAATCAAGCTATGTTTGTTTCTTCTTCCTTTCAGTGTTCATAGGTTATATTCTGTGAGGCCATAGAGTGAGTTTAGGTTGTGATGACAAAACAATAGTGATGTAAGCAGAATTGTGTCACCCTAAAATTCATTGAAATCCTAACCCCTAGTCTTCAGAATCTGAGTATATTTGAAATAGAGCTGTAAAGAGGCAATTAATAAAAATGAAGCCTTTAAGGTGACCCTAATCCAGTCTGACTGCGGTCCTGTTAAAAGAGGAAATTTGGAAGCACAAATATGCCAGGGATGCATGCACCAAGAAAAAGATAGTGTGAGGACACAGTGAAAAGTTGGTCATCTGGAAACCAAGGGAAAGGCCTGATAGGAAAACAAGTCTGCTGATATGTAGATTGTGGGCTTCTAGCTTCCAGAACTATGATTTCTTTTACTTAAGACACCCAATCTGTGGTATTTTGTCATGGCAGCCCTAGCAGTCTAATACAACTAAAAATAGATATAATAGAAATCTGAACCTGCTCATACCATCTGAACCTTTTTATTCTGGTCACCTATTTAATATTTCCTTTGGAATTTAATTTTTCAGTGCACATCTTATTCTATGGGTCAATGAAACAATTAACCCCCAGTTTGAAATAGGTTGCTCAAGTCAAATATTAATTTGGTGCAATTATAGTTATGGGTAAGTGATCAACTTCAATTAAAATGCAGAATCAAGCCCAACTTTTTAAAAAAAATAAAGTGAAAGGCCCCGTATTTCACAATGCAAATTTTTGTTATTGGATTCATGTTTGTTACAACATGGATGAATTGTGAGAATATCATGTTAAGTGAAATAAGTCAGTCAGAAAAAGCTAAGAACCACATGATTTCACTCATATGTGGGATATAAAATTGAAACTCAGAGACAAAGACGACAGTATGGTGGTTACCAAAGGGAAGGGGGAAGACAGTGATAGAGGGCAAATATATGGTGCCACAAGAAGATTTGACTTTGGGTGGTGGGTACATAATGCAATGTACAGATAATGTATCATAGTAATTTACACAATTAAAAATGATGAGAGAACAAAAGGAAGAAGTGACATTTCTTTCTCTTAATTTATATTACAAAAGTACAAGTTTTTAATTGTCATTACAAAAATTACATTTAGGTCATTTTATGACTTTTTATATCTACTAAACTACATATATTTCAGCAGTGTTGCTAGAAGGAATAAATGGTTCTAAGAAATCTTTCAGTAATTCCTCTTGTCCTAAAGATGAATTGGAACAATATAATAATATTTAAGGTTGAAAACATAAGGTACAGTCTTATCTAATGTTAAAATGTTTTAACAAAATCTTTGGAATGAATGATTATGCAATGTAAAGTTTTAGATCAAGTAAGTGTAATAACATTACTAATGGATAGGCATAAAGCATATGGCCACATGCATTGCTTTCACATTATCTAAACAATCTGTAAAACAGTGGATTCATGAGAGTGAACTATTACTTTAATTGTGGTCAACATCTGTGATTTTCGCATTAGAGATAACCTGACAATAAAAATGGCAATGGTGCATACCAGGGAGGCTGTTTTTTGTTTTTTCTCTCTCACACAGCATATTTAAAATGAAGCCAGATGACTGCAGTTTCATTAATGCAACAGACTGACAATGGAATGTTCCTGGCTCTCAGCTTTGGTTATGTTATTTCCAAGTACCCAATTATCTTTTACTGTATGTGGAATTGAAAGGTATGGTTTGTATTTAGAAGGAGGGAAGCGAAACACGTTAACAGTGAATAAAGGATTCCTCTAATGAATGTTAATGTTCTCCTTTCCAAGTCTTCAAGTGTTTATCAAGTTATATGTTCCAAGAATAGATAATCACCTCTCAGAATAATAAGTTGCTTTCTATGGAGACGGAAATAGGTAAATACAAGTTAAAAAGAACTGAAAGTGACCAAACTCATTTAATAATTCATCATAATAGTTTTGTGTGCTTTAAAAATTTTTTCCTAGAATGGGCTGCAACCTATTGTTAAATTATCTCTCAAATTCAGTTAGGTCATCATCACTATTTAGCTTCCCATGCTTTACTACTTATTACACATTTGAAAAATGACTTCTTGACCTAAATATCTGTAAAATCTGCCCTGGCCAGCATAATTCAGTGGTTGAGCATCTTCCTATGAACCAGGAGGTCACAGTTCAATTCGTGGGCACATACTGGGGTTGCAGGCTCGATCCCCAGGTGGGAGCATGCAGGAGGCGCCAATCAATGATTCTCTCTCATCATTGATGTTTCTATCTCTAATATCCCTCTCTCTTCTTCCTTAAGTCAATAAAAATATTAAAAATAAATAAATCTCTGTAAAATCCCATACAAACTTTTATTATATCACTTATACCTATAATAATCATAATATGCTCATCTTTCCTGTTATACTATGAAGCCTTTGATGATAGAAATTATGTTTATTCATATTCAAGAAAGTAGAATTTAGTCTTTTGGAAAAGATGTCTGTCCCAAATTTGCACTTTCAAAATATAAGCAACATGGCATTGAACAAAGTAGGTACTGTCTTTCTTGTTTCCCACTAGTAAAAGGGGGTATTAATAACCATATATCATTGCATTCTGATTAAAATTTAGTTGTCAACATCTTGTTATTTATATCACAAGTTCTCCACAGAGTGTCTGATATTTAGTTAGATGAAATGGATTTTTTGTAACTTTATTACTGAACTCCCATGGCAAACTTCACCTTTATAAAACCCCATTGCCTGGCATAAGTAGATGCTTAGTAATTATTGTTCATTTAATGAAGCCATGAACCAATTAATAAAATAAGATTGTATACCCTCTTTATAAAAAAGCTAGATTAAGAAAAATGAATCCATAGTACAATTTTCTAAATTATAAAAGGAATTAACATCAATGAATCTTTCACATTTTTATATAAAATTTTATGTAAAGGCACTTATTAGGTATCTCAACTGTATTTGCTGAGTAGTGATACAATAATAAAAATCTAAATTAAGGTTATCTAAGTGAAATCCATATAGGTCATAGAACTAGTTCTTTCTCTTTACATTACATCCACACACACACACACACATACATACTCTAGTATATACTCTAGTTCTTGGCTCTCATCTTTGGTTATGTTATGTTATGTAGTTACGTATGCGTATATTTAAAAATGCATTCATTTAATATTTATACACATGCATATAACACATCCTATCTAATAATAGACAAACATGGTAATTAACTGTACCTCTGACATGCTTCCCATTAGCTAATCAGGGCAATATGCAAATTAACCCCTTCCCCAACAATTTTTTTGTTAAAAACGTTTCTTTTTCAGACTAATTTTTTTATTTTGGTTCTATATAGTATTTTTGATGCTGGTTATGAAT